CTCTTCAAATACGCACCAATGTTTGAGAGCGACTTCATCCAAATTAGCAAAGGAGGGAAGGTGATGGATGTGCACAGCCAGGGCGCGCTGGTGACCGTGGGCATCGTCTGCACCAGCCCCAGACTCCAAGTGCCTGATGTCATGCTGCTGGCCTGGCCAACTGCAAACCGGGAGAGATATGTTACATGCAGGTGTGCCACCCAGGACAAAGGACGCAGGTGGACACGGGCCTTGGAGCTAACGAGGCTGCTTCCCTTGAAGCTGGTAAGGTTATCCATCCACGATGGTGTAAAACAGCAGCTCCGTCTGAAGCTCGCCACAGGCCGCTCTTTCTACCTTCAGTTGTGCCCTCCTTCTGATGCAAGAGAAGATCTTTTTGTTTACTGGGAAGATCTGGTTGGCCTCCTACGACCACCAGTGGAGGCTTATAGCAGTACCGAGGCCATGCCAGTGGGAGACACAATGGACATGCCTATGTTTGAGGAAGAGAGTAAGAGTCTAACAGTAAGTCTTTGTACTGTTTCTAGAGACATCTAAATATGGGCCCGGGGATAACTGGAGGCTGCTCTCACAGCGCTTTTGATGCTCTCTGAGGCTCATGTGCACATGCACTGCATTGGAAGAGGCCTCGCCCCTTGGGGAGGTTCCTAGTTCTTCTCCAAAGTGCTCCTCAAGATGTACTTTCAAGAGAACCCTGAGCTAGCAGCTTCCCTAATTTTATATTCCAGTTGTAACACCATCTATAGCATCCTGTGAACCCTATTCTTAACACTTACTACCCCAACCCAGGCAGCCTGTCAAATTGTAGGACTTTTTTTTTTTTTTTACTATTTGATAGTCCTACTTTTATTTGATTCATCATGTCTCCTGTGACTGCCATGTATTGGTGTTTGTATACATCAGTGGCAGTGCAAGATGCTTGCGTGCATGGGTATCATTTATTAAACTCACTACCCTGGCATTGATTCTGAATCATAGCAATCCTGTAGAGTAGAGGAGAGGTGGCTCAAGGATCTCTGAGAGTGTACATCTTGCTGGGCGCAGGCAATCTCATCTTTATCCCCTGGAGTGGCTAGTGGGTTTGAACTGCTGGCCAACCGTGTGGTTAAAGGCCCAATGCCTAACCCACAGTGCACCATGGTTCCTTGTACAGTTTGCTAGTAGCTATTGACATGTAAATTGTGCATAGACCTTGATCAATTGTTTCACTTTGAGGAATCCACTCTACACAATTACTAATGTATTGAATACTAACTCAAGTGTATAAAATAAAAATATATGAGGATACTCACTGGCCTATTTCAATAGTGTTCCCCCCTGGCACTGGAAATGGTCTTGAAAAACTGGACCGACCACCGTGATGGACCTGTAGTAAGGATTTCTTTAAGTATCCTAACAATTTGATTGATGACCTCAAAGCTCTTGAGAGGATTTCTTTAAGTATCCTAACATAATTTGATTGATGACCTCAAAGCTCTTGAGTGGTTCCGTTACTGAAAGGAGTAGATTCTTTCTGGTCTCGCTTTCTTCACTATTTGTTTCTTCTTGCCCTAGGCACAAAGCACGATCTGTGAAAATGGAGATCAGGAACAGATCAGCATTAGGAGCCTCCACTTAGACCCGGAGGTGTTTGGGGCGACCTCTTCTGGTCATGCTGGAGAGGAAGAAACAAGCCATGCCTCCTATAGTCTTTGAGAAAGCATATACTCTTCTAGTCACACAGCACATAGTGACTGACAAAGGGGCAGGGGCAGCATCAAGAGTGATGACAACAGGCCCCACAGCAGACATTGTGAATGTGGCAATAACTGAGCCCATGGTGTCAGAAACATTAGCACTGGCAAGAGCAGCTTCATCGATCCAGAAATAATTGGAGCCAGCAAAGTCATGGGGTGCTTCCAACATGTCCTCAGTAGAAGGCCTTCACATTGTTGTGTCCAATGCTCCAAGCATTCTCTTCTCCTCTTAAGGGGCTTCTAAGTACATCACCAAGAGCTCCCCAGAGTGCAGGCCCTCCTCAGAGAGCAGCATGAGTCTCGTGATCACAGGAGCAGAGAATACCTTCAAGCTTGTTTCGAAAATAGGCTAAGGTTCAGCAGCAGGCACCTTCATCTCAGCTTTGCAATGAAGGGTTCAAGAGTGCGAGGGATGGAAGCCAGGTGGGAGTCTCCCTTTCCAAGAGGGAAAGTAAGGAAACAAAGTAAGGTATGCCATCACTATAGGACACGAAAAACAAGTGAACACCAAGGAACCCTACTAAGTGTGAAAAAAAAGGGGTGGGGGGCATAGAAGCCATCAGAGCAAAATAACTTCCTCCCCAAACACAAAAACATCATCCTGAGGCCTATCACAAAGGCAGAAGTCAGAGTTCTCAAAATCTGGGGAGGAACCAACCTATAACTAATTCAGAGTCTTAAAATAAGGGTCTCCATTGGAATGGCTAATTGTTACAGAGCCTCAGTCCTTCCTGTGAAAGAGTTTAATTCTAGAGACCTAGAGAATCAACTCTTTATAAAAGAACCTCACTAACACACTGCACCGGATGGAGAGGGTGACGTCTCGCCTGAGACTGCAGAAGAAAGCAACAGCATCCAAGAGCACACGTTCGTCCACTCGGATTCTCTGCTGTAACAGCATATGCTCTATTAACAGGGAGGGTGCCAATAAAATGATGACAACTCAAGATCAGCCTCTGAACTACCTTAATGTTTTTATTTGATATCTGGGAGTTATGAAATAACAGATCACAAATTATTGAAGATTACTCTAATTTCCTAAAGATCATCCATTTATGACCTTAAGTTTAGAGCCAAAGAAAATTCTTCAAACTATTTCCTACTGTATAACCAGAGGCAGAAGGAACCAATAGGAAGTGGGGAAATTGTAAATAAAGTTAGGGAAGCACCAGATTATAGGATTTGGTTTTGTGTTAAAAAAAAAAAGAGAGATTTGAGTCATAGCATTGCTACTCATTTTCTAAGTGACCTTGAGTAGGTTAACTAAATTTGTCCTCCTTTAAATGGTTACATGGGGGAAAAAAATAAAAAAATAAATGGTTACATGGAGAGATTATACATGTGAATTATCTGACGAAGAATAGGCATTGAGTCCTGATGGTATAGTGGTTATGTGTTGAGTTGTGATCCACATGGTTAGTAGTTCAAAACCACCAACAGATCCGTGGGAGAAAGACTATGTACGTTCTACTCCTGTAAACAGTTACAGTCTGAGGATTGCAATGAGTCTACATTGACTCGATGGCAGTGAAGAGATGCAAATGATTATTGTTGGCATGAGTGCTAAAAATAGTTTATTCATGTTTTCTATAAAGGGCTTCATTACTCTGTTGTCTTAATTCTTTACTAGTTTAAATCCTTACTTAACTCATCTGACTGAATTTAAAATAATATTGAATATTATAAAGTTTCACATTTACATTTGGACATTTGTAGGATATCAAAAGATACTCAAAATAGCCTCTCCTACTAAAGTTCTATTTACAATAAATGAGCTTTATCTTTTCTAATATGAAAGGGTCTCCTTCTTAATGAACCTTCCACAATCCAGTCACAATGGAAGAATAACACATCATACCACTTATTCATAAGCATGAACTACAAAGTACAATTATCTTAAAATACTTATGGACAGGGAAAAAAACCCTCTGGATGAAACCTGAATATAAGATAGACACAAAATGTAGATAAAAATGGGAAACCGGCAAGATTTCGTTCGAACTTCCAGAGGGTCACCTGGTGTAAGAACTGACTCCACGACACCCAAGCACAACAATGCAAACTTTGAACAAAGAATAATTTAATATTAGACGTGTAAGACCCATAGGATAAGCCAAGGATCTCATTTTGCAAGTGAGAATTCTCAGCTCAAGTTAAAAATTATTTGTGACATAATTTTACAACCCAGAACCAGAAGTGATAGGTAACTTGGCCCCTGATAAGTCTATGCTCCTTGGATAACCTCGTGTTGTCTGAAGCTTATACTGTGCTCTGAAGATGGAATTTACAATTTGAAAATCACAGACGCACTCGCTGCATTGATCCCAGAGGCTCCTGTCCCAAATGATAAAGTAGCCTGCTTTTTCATAGGCCCAACATGCAGTGTTTACTGATTAATGCTTTTTAATGGCCCGTAACAATGTTTCAAAACACAAACAGGAGGCGGAAAATTAAAATCAATACTTAATTAAATTTCTGCAAAACACTATATACAGATTAGATTCAGTAGGTGTGGTTAGGAGTTGGGCTGCTAACCATGAGGTAAGGGTTTTGAAACCACTAGCCATTCACATGGGAGAAAGATGAATCTTTAAACTCCTGTAAAGATTTACAATCTCCGAAACCCACAGTGGCAGTTCTACCCTGCTTTATAGGGTTGCTATGAGCCAGAATTAACTTGAGGGCAGTTTGACACATTATTACCAAAAATTATGTTTCATATTAATACATTTGATATGATGCCAGAGACCTACGGAGGTTTTCAAATATCTACAATATAAACTATTTAAGGGTAAGGACTGATTTTTATTTTTGAAATCAAGGACTATTACTGTACTTACCAGTTGATTATTATACTCGGTAATTATAGAATGTAATGGTTATTAAAAGCATTGGATATTTTGTTTTTCTTTTCTAACTTTTCAATATATTTTCAATACTTTCTCTGACTCAATCTCCTTTTAAGTTTCATTATCCATTAGTAAATATAGTTTCAATCTGTCCCATTTCTGACTATAAAATCTGAGGTTGATTACTGCCAGGTATTTATTAGGTCACAAGTATTTTTAAAAGAAAATCAGGGAAATAAATAGAAATATATCATCTCACCTCTTCTAATCAGATATAAGATAATATAATGAACATAAGAATATAAAAAATCAAATTAGACTTACTATCTGTAAATGAATCATATGTCCTGAAACACCTAGGTACTAAACTAAAATTCAAATAAGTTCTAAGATGCTACAAGTTGTAGAACAATTTTACATTTGACATAACTTTAGCATCAAAATATTAACCAGCACACACTAAACATAGTCATATTATAAAAATGAAGATTTTTATAATTTGCATATGACATACATATTGATAAATGTTCAAGGAAAGCTCATCTGCAATAGTAGTCACACATACAAACACAATGATAATCTATATAGTTAGAATATTAAAAAACAAATGGGGGAAAATGGATGTGTCCCTGCTCTTTATTAAAAGAAAACCTCACTGCCATCAAGTCAATACCTAGAATTAGGGATGAAATAGGTGGTATCACAACAGATCCAAATGAAATAAAAAGAATAATAACTCAGTATTAGGAAAGACCATTTTCCATCAAATTCAATAATCTAGATGACATGGACAAATACCTACAAAAACACTATCTTCATAAACTAACCCATTAAGACCTTGAACACACCCACAGCAAAAGAAGAAATAGACAAACTCATCCAGAAACTCCCACCAAAATAAAGCCCAGGTCCAGATGGCTTCCCAGGAGAATTCTACCAAGTATTCAGAGAG